GCCATGCCTAATATTGCATGTTTTCTGTCCTCATTCTCCTTTGCATTTACCTTTCCTGGATCAGTGTTTTCAGGATTGGGGACTGAGGACCCTTTCTTTTTTTTTTTTTTTTTTTTTTTGTCTTTGTCGTTTTTATCGGTACCAGGGATTGAACTCATGACTACCTGCTTTCAAGGCAGGCGCTTATGCCACTGAGCTAAATCCCAGCCCCTGAGGACCCTTTCTTGTTGCTCCCTCTTCCCATACTTTTTGTTCCTTCAAGCATATATAGGAGGCCTAGGTTTTTTTTTTTTTTTCCTCTTTGTCTGTTACAGTTTGTTTGAATCCCCTGGCTAGGTGTTCCTACCCACTGCAGTGTACTAGGGAGACACAGACCTGGGCAGCCTCTGCTGGGTACGTCCCTCCAGATCAACCTACTGAAGGCTCCACTGCTAGGGTGTACCACCAGGCAAAGGGACCTGGTTTGGGCTAGCCTACTGGGTCTTAAGTCAGCAGCAACACCCAGGCCAAGTGCTCCCCACCAATCCTGCTTGAGAGGGGAATATGTGACTAAAGTCACTGGAGCATCCTGTTCCAGCTAGTCTGCCCGGTCCCAGAATGTCCTCTGTTGGAGCCTCCTACTCTATGAAAGGGTCCCCGTTCCTCTCACTCACTGCAGATCGATGCAGGGCTCCCCGCCAGTCCTGCTCTCAACTCGGTTTGGTTCGCCGATTCCCATTCTCAGAACTTTTGCGCGTCTCTCTCCCTGCTGTACCGATTGTGACGCAGCAGCAGGAAATTCAAATCGCGGCTTCCAGAGGCATGGGTTCCAGCTTCCGCGCTGAGATTTTATCTGTTCCTGTTATAGCACTGGGATTGCACTTCCAGTTGGTTTCTCTTAGCTTAGTTTGTTCCTGGGTCAGCAGGGTATATCTCCCCTTGCATAGGACTCCTCACACCGCACCATTCCTGGATTCTAAGCTGGCAATCTCAGAGAGCCTCCGTGGCTGCTGCTATCTGTCCGCCATGTTCTCCTGGAAGTCTGAATAGTAGGAACTTTCATGTCCCTTTCTTTCACGTAGCTTTCAGCTTAGTTATTGTGTATACCCAGTCACCTACTCAGACCTTTGATTTCTACTTTGATTACCATCTCCTGGGCATCGTGGGTCAATTCCTTTAAATGGCTGTTATAGTCAAGGGTTGCAAGCAGAACAAGACTATACAGGACACATGATTTATAGGATTATTTATGATAGTCATCCAGACTCAAATACAAAGAAAGTACAGGAAATCTTTCCACACACTAAAGACCCAAGGAAATCCCACTGAGGGCCTGGATCCCACAGCAGTGTTCTGCATGAGTCCAGCTGAAGACCGAGAGCCCATAACAATGACTCATACAAGTCTGTTTTATGGATCTGCACTGGGAAGGCCCAAATCGCAGTGATGAGAGCTAGAAAGTCTGCCAGTGTAGTGAAGGATCTGTGGCAGTAGGTTGAGGATTCTACACTGGAGCCAAGAAGCAATGCTCAAAATAAGGACCAGGGCTCCCCCTAAAAGTACCACAGCCCTCAGGGACAATGAAGTCCCGAGCTCCTCCAACAATGAGAACATCTGGGTTTGTATCTGGAAGGCTGCATGACAAGCTTCTCCTGGAGATTAAACAGCTTATCTCTTCCCCTGCAGAGCCAGAAAGTGATGCTCAGAGTAAGGACCAGAGCTCCCCCAAAGTGAATACTGCCATTCTCAGCAACAACAAAGTCCTGAGCTCTTCTGATGATTACAGCCAGGTTCATACCAGGGAAGAAGCTCTACAGGCTCCTCCAGGAGAACTCCCGACAATAGAACAACAGCACCAGAAAATAGCAGTGCGTAGGAGAACCCACAGCGTTTCTCTCTTCTTCTACTTTTTATGCTGGCAGTAGTCCTCAGGTGGACCATCTACACTCAGCACCACACTGATTCACTTCAGCTGGTATTAAGTTGACTACCAGTTTAGAATCTACCACATGGCTCCAGGCTGGTTCTAGCCTCATCCTCGTCTATTGGTTGTGGCTTGGTTTCCAAGGCATCACTGTCATAGGACTGAGCATCAGCTTCTTGAAAGGTAGAATCAACTCTTTTGGATCTGGGTCCATGGTACAGCCAGACAACATACTCTGGCACCCAAATAAGCTGTTCAGCATTCTCTGGAAAAACATAGGCATACCCTCTACCCCAGCTGAGTAGTGGGCTCAGACCCTTCCAGCTTCTTTTCTTTTAACTTTAGCTTGTTGAATTTTCTTTCAGTTCCATCCTTAGTAGAATTTTAAAAGTTAGTATTTACTGCCAGTGAGGTCTATTATAAGTTACAAATTTTGTAAGGAATCCCCATTTGTTTTTGTGTTTGAGTTTTGAGTGTACAGTGAGCATGTTTAACAAGTGTTAGACCTTGAGGATTATAAGGAATTTCCATGGTAAGGGAAATACAAAAAATTTTGCAAAGTGTTTTTTCATGGGCAGCACTCCTATAGATTGGGCTATTATCAGGTGTTTTTTTTGTTTTGTTTTTTGTTTTTTTTGTATTTTTCCTTTTTATTGGTACCAGGGATCAAACTCAACGACTGCCTGCTTGCAAGGCAGGCACTTATGCAGCTGAGCTAAATCCCCAGCCCCTTGGTTATCAGTTTTAAGTGTAGGAAAAAACCTTGCATTCCTGCCCTGGGCTCTGCACCTTTCTCACCTCTGAGGGCGCCCACCTTGCTGTTGGTACTACAGGTGAGCTCCCCAGTGGGCAGTGGCTCCTCAGCCTGAGGGGACAGTTGTTTGCCCTTGGCCTCACCTTTTGGCGCCAACACTTTGGGGTGGCGGTGATGGGAGGAGGGTCAGTGCCCGCCTTGCTGCCTGGCATGGGCTCTATTGCTGGTGCTCCAGCCCTCTCAGGGCACATGGCAATTGTGCCTCTGCAGCCGTGGGCCCCCCCGTTTTTTTTTTACTCTAAACAGTTGTAGCTCCCACAGCCCATGTTGAGTGCCAGGGTGGCATGGACAGACCGCAGGCCACAGGACTTTGGTTCCTCTGCTCCTGTAGCCAGAACAGCCTTGTTCTTTCTCTCTCCTCTAGGCTGTGGGTGAATGACCTGAGTAATAACTGCCGCCAAGTCAGCCTCCTGCACAGGGAGAGGTGAAAGTCTGAGTCACCTCAGACAGCACAGTCTTATTTTGGGGAGCTTGTAAAGCGTCTTTACACTGTTTATTTACTTTTTCAGAAGCCAATTGTTGAGCAGTTAACTTAAAGGATGAGTCTATTTTGTGAAGGGAGGAAACCTCAGCTTGTAATGCAGCCAGATTTCCATGAACTGTGAAGACAAGAATTGGCACTTGCGGCTCAGTTAAGGTTATTGAGATGACTGTTCTGCGATCTTTTTCCTGCTTGAGACTTGATTTTGAAATAGTGCTCCAAGCCACATCCTTTGTGGTCATCCCAACAGTCTTTTGGCCAATAATCTCCTAATCCACATCCACAAAAAGAAACTAAATATAGGGATCAAGAACACAACAAATATTTGTATATACATCTGTGGTTCTTGAGAACCTGTGTGTCCTGTTTTACACTTGATATGGGCTCGGTATTGATAATATTGATGGGCTCAATATTGAGGATATGGATGTACTTAATCCTGAGGATATCAGTACACTCTCCCTCCCTTTTGTGTGCACACTAGAGGTGTCCTCACCTGCTAGATGACAGATTTCCTTATACCTTGGCTCCCTGTTCAGGGGTCATTCTGCCATGGCCTGTCTTGAACTTTCTGGAGTGAGGACAGTGCAGGGCAGAGAGGTAAAGAAATAAAGACAAGAAACAGAAAGCTGGGGTCAGGTGGAACCCTCTTTCCAGATGAGAGGACAGGAACTGCTTGACCAGAGGAGAGCGTCTAGTTACACATTTGGCGGGTTGGGGTCACGTGGCACCCCGTTTGCCTAGGATTTTCTCAGGGCCTGGCGTTCTCTGGACTGAAGCAGGTTGGTCACGTGACTTACCTCTGGCACTCTTTGTTCTCAGTTAGTGTTTGCCTCACCCCCACATATGTGGTCAGTGTTCAGCTTCTGCCTCTCCTAACCCGAGAGTCCACATCCAGGGCATTGTGCCGTATCTGTGCTAAAATACACTGCACTACAGAGTATGTGGGGGGGAGTATGTGCATTTCAGAGCTGTGTGGGTCACCTTACCTGGCTTAGTAGGTCCAGGGAAAGGCTCTATGAGCAATAGTTTCAAATAAGTCCACTCCTCTAGGAGATGATGATGATGATGATGATGATGATGATGATGATGATGTGTGTGTGTGTGTGCGCATGTGTGCATGCTGAGGATTGAACTGACCTACATCTCCAACTGTTTTTGTTTTTATTTTAAGACAAGGTTTCACTAAGATGCCCAAGCAGGGTTCAGATGTGCAGTCCTCCCATCTCGGGCTCCCAGGATGCTGGGATTATAGACATACAGCACCATGCCTGTCTAGAGAGGACTTCTGTTATGTGGTCATTGAAATACAAAAGGTCAAAAAGTATTTAATGCCCATAAATACTGGCTCAGCTTAAAGGGACGATGGTTTTCTAACGTCCTAAGCTGACGTCAGAGAGATTTCCTGCACTGTCGGCTCTCGCTGCCGCAGATACTTTTCCCCCAGTAGCTGCATAATTATGTTTTACTTATTGTCTGTCCACAGCAGATGTGGGCTTCATCTAGGTGAGCGTTTCGTTTCCATTCTGTTCACTGATTCATCACAAACTTCTTCTATAGCAGATGCTGGCATGTGTTAAGTAGTAAAAATTCGTTGAATTACTACCATCAGTGAGGTTATTCTCACATGTTGGTTGAAAGGATTTTGTGCAACTGCCGTGGAAACCTGATCTTCTCCATTTGTAGCACTTTCTGTTCTACAATATCCCAAGTGCCAAAATCAGATGTGCAATGGAAAATGTACAAGATTTCCATACAGAAGGAGTTGGTTCTTGATGGACTATCATTTTATTCCAAAACAGGATGTGCTGTGGTCTGACTTTGGGTTTCCTGGGAGGAACGGCCAGGAAAGTACATTGTGGATTGGCTCCCTCGGCGCGCACACCCCCTGTCATCTGGACACCTATGGCTGTAACTTAGTCTTCCAGGTGCAAGGAAGGTAATGTACATGCATTGTTTGTGTGCGTGGATGCATGTGCGTGCATGCAGGCCGACAGACACACCAGAACACCAGCCCTCAGCCCCAGCGCCGTGCTGCCCATGACAGACCTCTACCTGCCCCCCGTTTTCCCTTTTGTGAAGCAAGGGGAACAGCTGCATCAGTGATTGCTGAGGTGCTGTCCATGACAGAGCAGGCAGGCAGAAGGCGACAGCAGCAAGCCTCACAGCAGCAAGCAGCCTGCCTTTCCCGTGGATCCCTTCGGGCCTCCTTTCTGTTGGGTGGTGCCACCTACACCATGGTGGGCACCCTTAATCCCAGCTTCACACTCTTAACCCCGACGTCACACACCCTAGACACTGTCACCTCCCAAAATCCCCACCTAAGAGCACATGAGGCTTTGGGGGTAATCAAGACACGAGCCATAACACACACGCACACACGCACACACACACACACACACACACACACACACACACACACAATCCCAAATGCCCTTTATTTGACCGAAATTCATTTTGTAACTATGTACAACCTATCAGTTCATGTAGCCATCAGCTAACAAGTCTTGAAGTTCAAAAGCAGATGACTTAACCTCAAAATTTTAGGGGAAAAATCTGCTCCAGCCCACCAAACCTGTGACTCGGTGGGAAGCTGGGCCTGGAAAGCCTCTGAGAGGCTCCATTTCCAAGTGGTGGCAAAGACTTGGTGCCTGCTCAGCATCACTCACTAGGTTCTGCCAAGCAGGAGACCTAGAACCAACAAGGTAAAAACGAAAATGGTCTGGGAGCTGCAGTGGAAGCGCTGGGCTCACCAGAGTGTCAGGGGCTTCTGTCTGCAGAACTAGACCTTGTTTCTCTCTCTGGGCTTGCTCGCTCATCTCACCTTCCTCTCTCTCTCCACATGTTTCCCGCTCTTACCTTAGATGACCTCCCTCAATTGGTGTAAAATGCAGGTGTGTCCAGTGTTTTGTGAATTAAGATTTATTACTTCCATTTTTCAGAACCTATTTAATTGACTGAAACATTTCAGTCTTCTCTTTTGGATACTTCTGAGTCGTACTGTTTTTAATTATGTGGCATTATATATGCATTTCTCTTAATAGAGTAACTTAACAAATATTTAAATTAAAAAAATTGGTAGTGCAGCCAACCAGTCTAGAAGCTATTTGAGAGAAGAAGCTAACCCTGTATTCTGGATCAGAATGCAGATACTTGAAAGGGTGGGGGTTATTCTGGGTAGCTCTAGAATCAGAGATAAAAACAACATATAAGGGGGAAAACTTTGATTTGAAACAGTGAAAGAATGACCTTACAGACTAAATCCTGCGCAGTGATGAAAGGTGCTGCTTGAGAGAGTCCTGCCCGAGGCACCCACCAATGTCTGCTCCCGGGATTCCAGCACTGAATGAGAGGCCAGGTGACCACAGGGGCAGCCCCCGTATTCCTCTAAGGATTGCATTTACATGAGTGACAATGAGCGTAGGTCTACCTTTGTGCATATCTCATCCCAAGCTCCGAATGCTAACTCGCATCTGTTTTTGTCAGGAAAAGATGGCATCTCTTTCCTCCTGAAGATACACCCTGCCTTTATCCAACTAGAATCCCTTATGAAGAATCTAGTGTGTTCAGTAAAGTCAACGTTGTGAATCCTGATTTAAAGCGTTTCCCTTGGTTCCGGAAAGCTCGAAGGCATTCAGTCACACTGAGCCCAAGACAGGTAATGATGGCCTTGACAATACTGATATCCGGTGCTGTCCTGAGAAGCACGGCCACCTCTCCCTGAAGTCCCTCACGCCACATGCTTACCCCTTTGTACAAATGAGAGTATTTTGCTGCTTGCTGCTGTGCTTTTGGGGGTGGCCTGCCTGACTCTGTTTACAGTTCTTGGGAAGGAGACGGAGAGAACTCAGCTTCTCCTGTGGGTGAATAGATCTTCAAGGATGAGAAGAGCCCACAGGGCTGCTTTCCTGGAGGTTAAGGGAGCAGCAGGCGTGGTTACTGCGGTGTCTCCAGGGTGTGGTCACAGTTAGTATCTGCTCAGATGGGCTACAACCAACCCTGGACATGTAAACGCAGGCTGGGATGCTGCAGGAAGGGGGTCACCAGAGGCAGGCTGCGTGGGAATGCGCAAGAATGGGTGACTGTGTGGGGAAAATTTCTAAACGTGTTGTACTTCCTGCTGCTACCCAGAGGGGGAAATGTTTGAAAACTGCCATTCGCTGTGTGGTAGTTTATGAGCAGTCAGAAGACTATTGTTCCCTCGGGCAGACTTCATTCCCTGGCTTGTCCCTGTCCCCTGCCTGCGCCGTCCCTGTCCCCTGCCCTCTGGCTCCTTCCTGCTCCTCACTGCCAGCTCCCTTTGACCTGACCAAGTTGCCTCACCCCATAGCAGTCCCTCCCCATGCATACCTCTCCTCCTGAGCCCCGCACAGTCCCCAGTTCATTTTCCATCTCCATAGACTTGTCTGTTCTGGACCTTTAATACAAGTGCAGTCATCTAGCATAGGGCCTCTGGCGTCTTTCATAGAGCGTATTATTTTCGAGGGCCACCTGTGTTGTAGAAGGTTTTCATAGATGCCATGATACAGCTAAGTTACATGTGTTTCGCCCTGCATCAGCTGATATACATGAGGGTGGGTTACATTTTTAGCTACTGGGAATGATACTATTGTATACACAAGTTTTTAATTGAGTATATATTTTCAAGTTGGGTATATACCTAAGTGGAATTGGTAAGTTGTCTGATAACTGCATTTAACGGTTTTGAGAAATTGCCAAACTGCTTCCCACAGTGGCTCTTCCATTTGAAATTCCCCCCAGAAATATACGACAGTTCTGGTTTCTTTACATCTGACCCTCTTCCCATTTTCTCATAGTCATTCCATCGTTATGAACTCGTCACTAGTTCATGTTTCTTCGTCTTTAATGGCCAAATTTGGATGATTTGTTCTGTCCTATCTGTTTTGTTTTGTTTTTGTCTTGTCCATTCTTGAAGCTACCACAAAACAGTTCTCTGTTTCTCACCACTTTATTGAAACTGTAGTATACAACAGGACACTCATGACTTCTGTGTTAGTGTCCTGTCACCATGACAAAATGCCTGAGAAAGTCAGCTTGTTAAAGAAAAGGTTTGTTTGGGCTCACAGTTTCAGGATTTTCGCTTGGTGGTTGCGTGGCTCTGACCCTTGAGCTGGTGTCTTACAGCATCTTCCAGTATGCCTCAGCTGGCGATCACACCTTCAACAGAGGGCCTTTGGGGATCATTCCAAACCATAGCAGCGTCTTCATGACTAAACCCATGGCTGCTTTAGCATTCCTTCTCCCAAAAGAAACTTCCCACCTCCAGCCCTGTGAGAGCAAATGCCCCTCTTTTCCTAAACCCAAAGTTTCGGATCATCCCCATTTGCTGATCAGGTACGAGTCCGTGTGGGTGACATCCTCCTTGGCCCCACCTGGTGCTCATGTCTAGTAAACCTTCCCATTCATAGCTTAACGTTCATGGGAAGGGCCATTGCAAGGCTCTCCTGTGCTTCCCAGTCCCTCTCTCCATGTCAGTTTTACCGTCCTCCTCCTCAGAATTCCTCAGTAACTCTGTGTGCCTCCAGGATGAAACCCACATTCTCCACCCTGAATTCCAGGCCTCCACGTGCCCACCTCCCTGATGCCCGCTGAGACTGGCCAGCTTGCTGCCTCCCCCAGCAGCTCCGCCCGTTGGTCCCTGCCACGTCTCCCTGGGATGTGTCCTCATTCTCCCCTCTAACCTCCCTCCTGGCTTCATTCAGGTCGTCCTCCACCCTCCAAGTTGTTCCCAACCCCTGCCCAGGCCTGTTTCTCCCACCCTGGGAGCCCTCGAGCACTGAACTCTCTACCTCACCACGTACCTAATGCCCTTCCTGCACATTATCTTTAGGTTTTGAACTGTGAAAGACAGAAGCTATGCATCCATTTCTGCCGGTGCCATTTCACAGAACACATAAAACTGTTTTGTGATAGGATGCAGGAAAACTTAGAATCTCAAGGTTTCTGCTGAAATTTAAGTGTGGACAGAGAAGGCCAAGAGTTAAGAAGATTAGAGACCTGGCTGGATCCCGTCTCCGTGTGAATTCATCACTAAGAAGGAGAGACGCAGGTCCGCGGGCCTCTGTCCTGTCTCCCTCCCTTCAGCGCTGACGCTGTGCGCTGTTTCCACAGCGTCCTGGGGATCACGGCCCCTCACTGTTCCTGTGAATTTCTCGCGTTACTTTTTCCCTGACAGCTTCAGTGGAACTCGTCCTCTGACACACAAATGAAATGTTCTCCTCCTATCTACTTTTCCACTTTGTTTTCAGGTCCTTTTTGTTCCCAGACACTGGTGGCATTACGTGGAATCCATTGATCCTGTCACCGTCAGCATAAATTCATGGATTGAGCTGGTATGTTTTTGTTGTTTTCCTTTTAAAAATAAATTAAGTCCTTGCTTTTAAGATGCACAAAGCCTGTCTATAAAATTTGGTGATTAATTTTCTGTAACCAGCACACTGTGATTATATTGTTTTACTGTACTGTGATTCTGTCCTCTGCTGATGCATAGTTCAGATGAACATAGAATTTTCCGAGATGTACACTCTCTTTATTTAAAGGACACACAGGTGTGGCATGGTGGTGCATGCCTGCAGTCCCTGGACTTTGGAGGCTGAGGCAGGACAGTCACTGTGAGCCTAAACTACACAGCAAGGTCCTGTCTCAAAGAAACAGAGAAACGAAAGACATTCAGTGGGCCCTAATATCCAATGCTGGGTCCACTCCATGAGCACTGTTACCAGGAAAATTGTGTTGGTCTGGCTGGATCTATTGCTGCCAATTCTGTCCCACACCATCTGGATAGAAACACAGTGGACCCTCAGATTATGACCAGCCTGACATAAATGCACAGTTTGGGTTATGACCAGCTTTTTGGTTTTAACTTATGACCAAAGTCTTGAGTTTGGACAGATGCTGACAATTTGTGCTTCCCCATGGTCTGAGACACAGACTTAATTCTGAAAGCATTCTTGAAGGAACATCACAGCATTCTTTCCTGGGTGGGTTTGGTTGAGAACTCCTGGGCCAGTGTCTCCCTAAGGACACTGAGATCTGCTTGTCTACAGGCGAGAGATTTGAAGGCTGCATAGAGGAGGCTGAGCCTTCAGTTGACAATTTGAGTTACAACAAACCCTTGGGAATGCAGTGAGTTTATAACTAAAGGTCTACTTAGCCACTTCCTGGTTCAGGGTCCTCGTTAGGTGCAGAATTCTCAGTGTTGCTTTATACATTTTCTTAGGGCACTTGGTTTGCAGCATTTATGTGTGCCAGAAACCTTTCCCCACCAATACACTGTGCCTAATTGTGGCTGCCTGCTGTATTTGACAGTGACAGCTTCCGCCTATTATGGCCATGTCTGTCACTGTAACCAGCAGCTTGGAGTGTGCCAGTGCCCTTGTTAGCCCCAAACCCTGGCTGCACCTCTGCTCTCCTAACCTGGCATCTCTCTGCTCTTTGGCAGCTGCACCCGTCTCAGTCAGAGGTTTCCTGTTCTGTGTTATTGAGAAGGGCTTTGGAATAGGTGGGATGTCAGGAGGAGTACAGTAGAAGCCGTAAGTGTGCGCCTAGAGAGAGGAGGCGTAGCCTTTGAGGGGTAGGTGAGCGTGCAGGGGGAGATGGGAGACTCGCGGGTAGAAATACTGCTTGGAGGAGGCTGACCTGGAACTGATGCTGGGGGGCGTCCACGGAGTCCCTTCGTCCACCAGCACCACAGTCACACCCTCAGTAGCCCTGACAGTGGCTTCCCCTCCCAAGGGAGCTCATGGGTGTTAAACAGTGGTGCTGTCATCTGCCTGCTTATAGCCCAGCTGTTATTTGTAAAACTGCATATTTTGTTCTTTGTAAGTATTTGAAGATCTCGGCCATGTAGACCTTTACTGTTATTTGTCTTATTGTCAGGTTCAGATTCTTTATTTTCGGTGTTATTCTTTGATCAATCATGTTTGTTACAGTGTTTTAGTTTATTTCTCATTGTGTTCTCTAATAGTTGTTGATTTTAATGTCGTTTATCATTAGAGCTACAGTTTGTGCTTATGTTAAGAAAGCTTATCTTCATTCTTGTAGTCAAGCATGTTTACTATAATTTTTCCCCTTCAAATAAGTTGCCTTCCAAACTCTGTAAGGATTGCTCTTCTGTATATGTGGTGCTTTTTAAAACTTGAAACCTATCAAAAAAATAGAGAAGACTGGCGGAAAAACAAATCACAAAGTGGTTCATACTTGAGGGCTGTGTTCTGTAGATAAAATACATATTTAATAAGGTTGATGAAATATTGTGTGTCTTCTAGATGACAGATAACAGTGAATACATAGAAACTATCATTGTAAGGGCCAAGGATTTAGCTCAGCAGCACAAGTGCCTGCTGGGCAAGCACAAGGTCATGAGTTTGATCTCCAGTACCAAAAAAAAAAAATTACCATCCTGCCAATAGCTTACTCATTCCCCTTATAACAAAGCATATATTACTGAGTGGGACACACAATCAGAAGACACAGAGTTCTCTGTTTTGACGCATGAAACACGAAGACAAAGGCTAAAATTGTGTGTTCTTTTAAAACTCAATATAGGAGGAGGACCACCTGGCCCGCGTGGAAGAGGCAATCACTCGTACGCTTGTGTGTGCTCTGAAAACATCCGAGGACCCCCACAATTCCCGGGCTTGGTTAAACCCCACTGAGGTATTTGTCATGGCAGTGGCTTCCTGTGGTAAAGCTTCCCAACCAGAGCCCTTGTTTCAGCTTAACTTGGTGGGGACGGCCATTCCGACGAGCGTGTCTTTTCCCTTAGGTTGAAGCAACCTCTCATGCAGTCAACTGTAGCTACTTAAGTGGAGCCATTTCTGCCTTTTTCAGTCATTCCAGAACCCCAAAGGCAGGAGAAGACGACGTGCTGGAAGCAAATGGGGGAAGCGTGGAGAAGGAAGGATCACACGTGTGCAGCCACCCCGAGGTGGACCAGACACGCAGCCGCAGCCAAGGCCCGGGAGCCGGAAAGCGGGCTGCGGCGAGCGGCTTTGGCCCCGACCTCTGCCCTGTACTGCCAGCTCCTGAAGAGCCCCCTGCACACAGAGGTGGCGTATTTGAAAATGACAGTAAAGAGCTGGCTGACAAAGATGAGAAACACTTTGCCAAATCCTGCTGTCCCCAGAGGCCACAAATGATGAGTGAGGACGGAAACGCGACAGGGGGACAGGCTGCTGCGGGTAGTGCTCCCGGCCTGTCTCAAGCGCTCATTTCTACCGATGATTTGCTGGACTGTTTAGTGAATCCACAAGTGATCAGGATGGTGGCACAGCTTTTGATACAAGGGAAAAGCTTATGATTCTCATAGAAGGCAAATTTTTAATAACATCGTAAAAATGTATTTGTAAACTATAGTATGATTTAAAATAAAAGGTGTAACAGCCAAAGGTCAGTTTGCATGTTTATCTTCTACCTGTTGAAGTTCCAAGTCTGTTGCCATCTCCTTCTGTGAACACTGCTTTCCCCCTCCATCTTCGTCCTGCCGCAGTCTGGATTACAGACTGTGACACCTGTAAGCCCCAGGTGTCCCCAAGCAAGCGCTCTCTCCATCGCTCTGACCAGGGCTGGACTTGCTGCTGCTTGGTCTTGTAAATCAGGTTTCCTGGGAACACACCCAGAGTTCACCTCATAGTGCCTGTGACAGCTTTAGGATCATACTGACAAAGTTGAATCTAGATCAAGAGACTGCGTGGCTCAGAAAGCCAAGAAAGAAATTCACTCTCCCTTAACAGAAAGAGTTGGTTGACAGCTGGTCTGAAAGGTGAGTGGACCGAGTCCAGCCTGGATCTAAGGTGATCCACGTCTAACACCAACAGAATTCTCACCGGTGAACTCCTGTCATCTACAACAAGACACCAGTCAGCAGGTGGGCTTCTCATGTGAGCACTTCCTGTGGGAAGAGCTGGGCATGTCAGAGAGCAGTCCTGGGACTAGAAAGGACCAGGTGCTCCTGATCCTCAGACAAAGACTGATAGCTTAATTTAGCAAAATCAGTCCCACTCTGATTGCATTTTCCAAACCTGGGGACAATTACCATGACTGTCCAAGAATTTAGAAATTCAGAAAGCATACTGACCTCTGAGTTACCATGCTTGACAAACACAACAGTAGACAGGAAGTCTCCTTTTGAAAGAATTGACTACCTGCCCCTCCCTTAGGTGTCAGTAAGTCCAAAGAAAAGGTGTGACTTCTAGGAGGAGGGCATGCTGTTATGTGAGCTTGCCCAGGGAAAGGAAGAACCAAACAGGGCTCTTCCGGGACACTTGTCACTAGCTCACCTTGAAGCAGATCTGCTCTGTACTGGTTACCAACTTGTCTCGAGTCCCCTGAGACAACACCCAAGGGCACAAGTTATACAAAGCAGGTTTACGAGTTACAGATGGGCAGCAAGGGGCAGCAGAGGCTAACATCTACTGTGAGCCAGGCCCTCAAGGCCCAGGAAGGCCACCCTGGGCAGCCGGAGTCTCACCTGCACGTGCCCCCCTGGCAGCCTGCACTGCCTTGGGTACCACAGCTGCCACAGCTCTGGCCTGCCTGCCAAGCCTGCCCAGGCTCCAAGTGGGCTGGTTCAGCAAAGGCTCCGTGCTGGGGTCCATTTTTCCTCCAGATGTACTAACTCCAGCTATACTGTGCCCCTTCCTGAAGATTCCCAGTGAGTGCTGGTTCTCTAAGCGCTTGTTGCTGTCTCGTAAACTTTTCATCAACAGTGGCTGCTGCTCATCGTTAGGCTTCCTGTGTATTTGCTCTTTAAGATAAAAATAAGTTTTGACTAAAAGTGACATTGTTAAGTTTTCCTGAAAAAGGAGGAAAATGACCTGCTTGGAGTTTCTTTAGATCAAAGAGGACTATACTATTTACCGACTGGGTCTTTATTCCTCAGTGCAGAACATCTTCCTATCAGCCTTGCCCTGAGTCAGCCAAACCACTGCAGAACGAAAGCAAATCAGAGCAACGTTCTCTTTTTATTCTAATTCCACAGCTTCAGTGTTCGTGCCTAACTCAGAGGCCAGTGGTTAGGAAGCCACACTAGCCAACAAGACCTGAGCAGGCCTCTTATAAACCAACAGCAGCAGCAGCAGCAGGAGCAGTGTCAGGACCAGGCGTCCATCCTCTGGGCCTGCTGCTCTCCTTCCCAGCGGGCAGGGAGGGCGAGCGCATCTGTCCTCCGGCGCCCCCTAGCGTCCGACTGCGCCTTCCGCGCCGGCTTCGCATCAGAACCAGCTCTGGCTTCTGGGTTTATGGAATTTCAAATGAGACCGACCAAAAACGAAGCCGGCATTGTTATCTTCGCAATAGTCGCTCAGATGACAAGACAGAGACATAAAAAACTGATCCATTGTTAATCTCCTGTTATCTTGTTTTGAAATTACCATTTTTATTATATTCTTTAAAATTATATATATATATATATATATATATATATATAATTTTTTTAAAGCGAAGCCAGAAGGAGAAAAGGAACAGGGAAGTGTCCTGCAGAGTACATGAGACGGTCCTAAAGCCGCGACGTTCTCTGGAGGCCGTATTCTCTGGTGAGGAGCTTATGCTTGCAGTGCAGCCAGGAGCCTGCTGTCAGCTGCAGGGTTGTCCCCTAAGTGGTGCTACGCAAGGAAACTTGAGTTCTGAGCATGTTTCCTCAGCCTGAAAATGTGCACAGAATTCTCACCTCACAGGGCTGTTAGTGCGAGTCATGTATGTGAAGCACCTACTGTGTTACCTGGTACAGTCCAGGTCCTCAATGTGTTGTCTGAACCTGAAATTTACCAGAGTATGAAAAAAAATTGCTGCATTAGCAGTTAACAGATTAACAGATTTGGTTTTAAAAACTTATGCACAGTGTTTTAAAAGCTGATCAAAAGCTAGGCTGCTATGGTATTTTTTGGAAATTATTCACGCTTTTTTTTTTTTTTTTTTTAGAAATGATGGGTAACATTTTTAGATACACTGTCCGTGTTGGATTACAAGAAGTATTTTTCTCTTTTTTGGGTACTGGAAATTGAACTCAGACCTTAAGCTTTTCAGGCAGGCACTGTACTGCTGAACTATAACCTGGGCCTTTCTCTTTTTTTCCTCTTGATCTGACTTTTAGGAAATAAGCTATTTAACAGCCTTAGTGTTCCTTAATTGCAAGCACAGTAGGTTTCCACTGAAAACCCCTTGCCCCATTGTTTTCACTAGGCAGTGGAAAAAAATGGGTTTGGGTTTAACATTAGAAATGACCTGGCTGCCACACAGCTCCAGGGGACACAGTTCACCCAGACCGTGAGCTAAGTCCCAGTGTCTGGCCTGTGTAGGTTGCAAGTGCACTGTGGTCCCAGAGGCCTGGCTGCAGCTGCCCAGCTCCATGGCATGGTCTGCTGTGTGAAGAAACAGGTTCCCGTCAAGGAATCCGTTCAACTGGAGGCAAAGAAGCCAGGGATGTCGGAGATGACTCTGCTGTTAGCGTTCTAATCAGGCTGTTTCATTCTTAAGTGGCTTAGCAAATATTCGTGGAATATCTGTATCACAGGCGCAGACTTCAACCCCAGGACAGAAACATCAGTCAGGCCCATCCTTGTTCAGGGAAGGTGGCAGCTCTACCCTTCATGCCCCTGCAGCACGAGGGCATCCTGACATGATTCCCACCGTCACCAGTACCAGCTAGAACTGCGTGACTGTGCCTTTCTGCCAGTAAGACTGCTAGTCTGTCCCTCCTGAAAATATAAACCTGTTCTTGTCCCACAGATTTGATGTCCACAAGCTTGTGGCTACACAGCTATAAACTTTTGTTATCTCATATTCTCAAATTTATTTGTTCTCAAGATAGGTTCCAAGAAAAGGCTGAGGGAAGTTGATTTCAGTGACAAAGGAGGACCTTTCAGGCTGAGGGTAGAGCTCGGTGGTGCTGTGCTCGGCTGGCATGCACAGGGCCCGGGTTTGATCCCCACCATGGCAAAGAAGGGTGGAGGAGGAAAAGGAAAAGGGATATACTGGTCTTGGAAAAAGTGGTTAGTAGTGGGGCGGGATGAACCTGTTTCCCAGGAGTTACATATGATGTCTCAGGAAGAAAACCAAAAAGTTAACGTCTGAAAGTTATAAGGTACTCCGGGTATGCTTGGTAGTCATAAAATACCACAAATATAGTTGGGTTCTTCGCATTATCTGTGACTGTGTCATACTGGTCAGTAGGATTTTGAGGGTCCCTTGAAGGAGGCACAATCAATGAGCTGTTCCCCTGTGTGTACTTTCCAGTGAGTACGCGCACGTAATACATATGCTTTCTCCCACGTGGATCTGGGCTTGAGTATGTGTCACTGGCAGAATAATTGGCATTGACAGCAAAATAGGTTCCCTTTCCATATGCCGTAGCTGTGAAGAGAAACACAAAACACTTTTAGGAATTTCAGTTTAGCCCAACATGTCAAATAAGGCAATTGGGGTGAGATTTAAACACTGAGTGTGGCAGGCCGTTCTGGGATGAAATTCAGTGAGTCCTACCCTGAAACCTGTGCTGCAACCTGGCCACCCACTGTGGGAATACAGAACATCCGCAGTGTTCCTTGCCACCACGGGCCCTCACGGCTGGCACCCCTTTTGGGCAGCCCCATCTCCTGCTTTCTTACCGTTCTTGCCCGCATAACTGCGGTTAAACCCATTCCTGTTGACGTGAGGCAGCGAGCCGGCGTCTGTCCCGTGGAAGAGAAGCTTCTCATTGCTGTGCTGGCCATTCTTGGCATCCATGGCTTTTTTCTTTGCCTGGTAGCAATGCCACAGATGTGGATTCTGGATCCTCTCAATCTACAAATTATTAAAGAGAACACTTAGCCAGTGCCAAGAGTACTTGCCAAGACTTGGCAAACGAAACATGTTCACCATTTTTCATAAACAAAAACTGATTCAGCAGCAAATCCACTGCCAGATGGCACTCTCAGTGTCCAGAAATCGTTTAGATTCAGTGTTCTTATCATAAGAACAGGCATTGGGACCAGCATGATTTTAACTTTTGACATCTTTTACACACTACAATAGCAAACAATGTCTAGGAGGTTAAGTACTCATTATGAGGATGAGGCTGACCCAGCCTCTCTGATGGCTGCTTATTACACGCACCCCAGTTTCTCCTGTCACTCCCTACCTGGCTCTGTCACTGCCTCTGGCCACCCCAGTGTCCCTGGGATACTAGCTGAGCAAGCTGTTGATCACAAGGCCTTCTTACTATGCCCCAACTCCAGCCTTTCTTAAATCACTAAGCTGCCCGGGCTGGACTTGATCTTGGGACTCTCTTGCCTCAGCCTGCCAGGCTGCTGAGGTTACAGGCATTCACCACTGTACCCAGCAGGTGGCCATGTTCTGACCATGAGAGCCACCAGAGTGTCTAGCAAGAAAGAAATTCCTGGAAAACAAGCATCAGTTGCACTTGCAGGAGGGCAGCACTAACCCTGATGGGTGGGGTCTGCCTGCTGGGCTGTGGAGGAGCTGGCTGGCTTCTGGGTCACAGGTGAGCATCTGAACTCCTCTGCTCAGGAGGAGGGTGGTTAAACTGCCTTGGGAGGAGTGAGCAGCAGTGGGCGGGAGTGGCCAGGGGCTTCGGAAACGCACTTGGAGGGTCTGTGCCGTCAGAATCCTGCTCTGCTCTGCACAAGTCTCAGGCCAAGTACTGCTCCCTGACTTTCTCTGTTGTTGGCTCTTAATTCTGACTCTGCTGTTTTTAATTACGATACCCACTTGCCCTTTAGTTCAAAGTCTCAGCATTACCATGTAATCTGTCAACCTAATTTGATTTAAAATATTTTTTATTTTATGAAGCAAAAATTTCATGATCAAATAATAACAGAACACCATTATTTGACTTATCATTTCCTCTTTTTCTTTACTTAAATCAAATTTCTAATCTTTAAACTATGTCCCACTTTATTTCCATTTACCATAAGCCTTAACTCAATTTTTTAAAGCTTCAAATTTTTTAAGAGTTACGAAATCATTCTCCATTTCTTAGTCTTTTCACCCTAAAATTTACAAAGTTTCTTAAACTTTAAAATGTAATAACCACACAAAGAGAATATTTATTTCAAGGCTTGGGATACAGCTAAGTGAGAGCCCTGGTTTCCATCCCTAGCACACATACACACACACATTATTTAAATTGTTTTTCTTTATTTGGCCTGATGCTAGGGACCAAACTTAGGATCTCGAGCAGCCAAGGCAAGTACTCTATCTCTGAGATAAACACACAACTCTCAAATAATGTTGAACACAGTAATCTGAGTCAATATTCCCAGTGGAATAAATTCTAAGATCAAAAAATATTACAAATAAATTAATTGAATCTTAAACTTTGTTTAGTAGGTTTATTATTCACCAACAACTACTAGATGAGGTAACGGAGAAAAAAAAAGTCTAGCTGAAGACAAGAATTTGATAAGCCAAGATTCAGAGGGAAAGGAAATACAAACAAAATAATAAAGTCAGAGGACAGTGGAATAACTTCTTCAGGATGCCTACAGGAAACAACCACCAGTCCAGAATTCTATTGTTAATAAAAAAAATATCCTTCAAAATGAAGGTGAAATAAGGACATTTTCAGAAAAACAAAAATTGAGAATTCACTACTATACAATCTGTCGGAGAAGAACTACATCCAGACAGAATCACCCTGGCGGGAGCACAGAAACATCAAATGTTACCGAACAGTGAGAGGGAAGGTAAAGATTTTGACAGCTATTAAAAGTAGCTGTTAAAAGTAAAATTTAGGAAGGGGATAAAGGCATCTTAAAGAGTTCAGAGATCACTGCATTGTGTAGGAGATGATGAGCATAAGGATTCAATAAGAGTTTAGTAAGTCAGTGACACACCTAACTTCTAGTGCAAAAAGAAAATAAAATAATTAGAACAGAATACACAACAGTCTCATGGGGAGAAAAACAGAATAATAGAAATGCTTGATTCATATGAGGGCAGGAAAAGAGAAAAAAGAGCAAAGAATAGGTGTGATAAATAGAAAACAAAGATTAATGTGGAATATTTTAACCCAAATATACCAGTAAATGTAGTAAATACAGTCAACAGATTAAATACTCTAGGTAAGAGATGAAAAGAAAAACTCAAGCACATGTTGCTACTAAGAAAAACATCTTAAATATTATAGTCATAAAAAGGTTAAAAGAAAACTAATTTTAAAATATAGTGTTGTAACTGTAACAATTAAAGAAAACTCATGTAGCTATTTTAAAATTACTACTACTAATTTTGGTATAATCTTAAAACAATTTTATGTATCCTATTATAAAACAAATAAATTACTGTTCTAGTAACCAAACTTGCTGTTTTACAGGATAAAAACAAAACAAAATATAAGAGATTAAGAAGAATTCTGTAATATTACAGTTGACTGGAAAGCGAGCTCATGGGTTTCGCAGCGTTATCTGGAAGCAGCCCCTCAGCAGTGGTGAGCACGCTCAGCCCACAGCTCTCGGTTTCTTACTGCCCGTCCTCTCCGCGAAGAGTCCCAGCCTGGGGCCAGTAAAGCACAGGGTGAGCGTGACAGACATCGTGCCGGGAAGCAGACAAATGCTGCAGGAGTAATGGACTCACCAAAAGAGATGGGAGCCAACTTGCTGCTCACCATTTGTAGGATAGTTTGTATGTCTAATAAAATAATGCTGTAATTAAATTCAACATACTGAATTTTCTAAACAGCAGGGGCAAGAAAATTTATTCTCTGAAAAGTTGCCAAATAACAAGCATAGAAGAAATGAATTAGAAAATTCATGAAGGAATTAGAAAGTCTCCTTGCAACCTCCAGTGGAATGATGGATTTAGACAAGAATCATCAAAGGATGTTAAAATCAGTGGGGAAAAGTTTGGATAACACCCTCATGAACAGTGGGACAACCTTACCACAGGGTGTCCTGATCACTTATGAGATTCTGCAAAAAAAGAATTATTTTTATCTGAACTTACTGATGCCTTTAAAACTAACTCCCAGTTTATTAGAAATAAGAGAATAAAGAAATAAATGAAGTTAGACAAGACTAGACTTTCATTTTTAAAAATTTGCTTGAATTCTTCCCAAAATATCAAAGCACAAAAGATCCACATGTAGGACATTCTACAACAGAAATGACTTAGGCTTTTTAAAATTCAATCTCATGAAAAATTACTTTTAAAAATGTAAGAGTGCTATTTTGTATTAGAAGAGAGGAAAAATACATACTAGCCAAATATAACATGTTAATCCAGATGGGGCAGGCATAAGATTTTTTGAGCCACTAGAGAAATTTTGTTTATATTCAATGATACTTGTTAAATGTGCTTTTTGTATGATATAATGGTATTTCTATAATTTAGAAGAATATCTTCATACTTAGGAAATATAAAAGTAGGAGTGTCATGAGATCTGCAACTTTCAAAGCTTCAGTAAAAATGGAAGAAAAAGATAATATGCAAAATTGTTGAATCTGAGTGGAAGGGTTAGAGATGTTAAGAATTTTTATCATCAGCACTCAGGAGGCTGAGGTGGGAGGATCCTTATGAGTTTGAGACCAGCCCGGGCTACAAAGTGAGCTCAAGGCCAGCCTGAACTGCATAGCGAGACCCCATCTCAAAAAAAGACAAAAAAAAAAAAAAAAAAAGAATTTTCACCGTAAGACATAATAGTGCTGCTGGAGGCTTAGCTCAGTGGCATAGGTGCCTGCTTGGCAAACGCAAGGTCATGAGTTCGACCCCCAGTACAAAAAAAAAAAAAAAAAAAAAGTAGACATAACAGTGCCAGAGGGCGACAGATCAGTCATATTTCATGTTGGGATTTGCACACTACCAGGCACCTCCAGAGCTGCCTATAGCTGGAATTTCACTCAGAAATTTATTTGAAAACAGGGTTCTTTTGCAATACTATGCTGAAACAATTTCTGTGGCCAAGGTCTGCTGATACATGGAAAGCTCTCTGGGACCAACCCTGGACACTGCCAATCCCCTGGGACATTGATCCTTGCTCCGTCTGAATTGTCTGAATTGGCATTTTATCACAGTGAGCTAGTCAGCTCCTACCAGTGCACTGCAATTGGCATTTGGAATGGCACTTTTTGTTACCACAACTGGGCCATCTAAGAGGTGCATCTTTGAATCCCACTGTTTTGATGCCTTGTAGAATTGTTTCCATTCAATCAGGCATGAGTTTTGTTCAATGCGTTTAAATTAAGGGATGTTTTTAAAAAGTGATATAAATTTCATACTGAATGTATTGTAAAGATGGTGTTAAAGTTATTCTTCAGTACTTGATCCACACAAGAACTGTCTTGAGGATCAATCTCAGTGTTGTAAAGAACTGAGTTTTCCTATCAAAGCTTTGCTTTTTCCTATTATGGACATTATGAGTTGTATGCTAGGTGTTTCCTTCTTTGCTTTGTGTACTAAGAAGCTCAAGGACAAATGTACAACTGTGTAGGTCTTCATGCTGTATAATATGTAATACATATTTAACAGCTGCCAGTGATAGTGAAAGGAAAATCAGATAAAAGGAAAATGAATGACACAGAAGTCAGAGAAGAACATAATTCTAAAGGGCAATATTAATAGCATATAAAATGGAAGATGTGAAAATAATTGAGATAAATAAGGAAAGAGCTATTAAATTTATGCAGGTAACAAGCACACTGGCCCGCAAATAGGGGACAGAAGAATAGAATCCAGATTAGGAGCCTCTAGGTGTCTCTTTGTTGTGCTTACTAATTATCAAACCCAACTCATGGGAACTCATGGCCTTGAGTTTTCGTTGGCTTGCTTTACAAAGTAGATAAGGCATATCTTTATTATTCTAACCACACTGCCATTGAAGATCATATTGTATAAAGGACACAAAAATCTTAATGTCTCAGCAGTTATAGTGATGATATAGAACCTACAATCTAATTACTACAAATATCTAATTCTATATAAAAAAATTTATAGGCAGCATCTGAAAGATATTTATACAGGACTATGATACTACTTATTTCCACCATCAAGAAAGTCCATTGTTCACATGGGACTTACCTTCTCAATGACAAAATTTGGGCAAGTCTGTTTAAACTTTCCTGCCACAGTGCTGAATTCCTGGTCCCCAAGCTGCAGCGGGACCACACAGAGATTCTGCTGATTCATGTCACTCCAGTGTGCAGGAAGGGTAACTGCAAAGCAGACATGAGAGGACTCCCCTGTGTATTTCCAAACTGAAAAGCTGAGTCTCGTCTGTGTTGTGTTATAATCTCCTGATTCTCTATGCTCAGCAAGTTCCTTATCTTTCTAGCAGAATGTATTCCAAAGAGTGGACCACAGCCCACCCATATCAGAATCGGCTGGAATGTTAGATTTTCAGAAGGAGGTTCTGGTGGCAGAGCTTGGTGGTGGAGTGTTTGTTGGGCAAGCACAAGGCCCCAGGTTTGGTGCCCAGAACCAAAAAAGAAAAAGACAATGTCACAGACATATTGAATCTGAGTCTCAGCGGGCTGGGGCCTGGGTATCTGTACCTTAAATCTGGATCCTACTACCATGGCACAGTACACCTCATCTAGATTTTCTGTTCAACTCCCACTCCCATAATGTAACAAAACGTTATTTCCATGCCATGTTTTAAATAGTAGCTACTGTTTTGCTTATGCATGGGATTTTGCCAGACTGCCTCGTTACCACCATGGTATGCTCATTTATCTTCACAACCTCTTTGAGACATAGGTGGGTGGTAGGTTTTATTATGTGACACATTAAGGTGGCAGCTCTATCTCCTTCCTTGGTAAGCAGAATACTATAGACAATGTGATTTCCTCAAAACCTGAGAAGTTTGTTCCCACTGCTTTCACAAGAGATGAAAACAGTGTGTTGGAAACCAAGTCACTGATTTCCAGTAGGAGGCTTATGTGGTTTGCCGGAGGAATGGCAGCCTACACAAGGTAAGCTTTCCCTTCTTGGGGAGCAGATGCAATCATGGAATCTCAGGCTCCTCCCTGATGTTATGCAAAGCAACTTGGCAGCAGCAGTGTGACTCCTGGAAGGACAATTTGGACCCTCTCTGGGTCATCAGTCACCCATACACAGAGGTCACTGGCCACAGCCTGACTTCTCTGCTTTGTCCATTTGTCCTTTTGTTTAAAATAAAAAACAACCTTGAGCCACTTTCTTCTAAGGCTACAGTTTTCCCTCCTCTGGCCGGAGGAGCTATTACTCCCGAACAGAACCGGCTCTGGAAAGCTTACAATGGGAACAAATGCAAGGCTTGGCTATTGTCATCAGGACCCTTGGGATGCTGAGCACATCCACGCTGTTTTCCTGGCCATACTGCAGGTTCTTGAACTCAGAGACCTGAATGTTCTAGTATGTCTTATTAAGATTCCTTGAGTTTTATCTACCTGAACATTTGATGTATGCACAAGAGTTGTTAAGTCCCAAGTAGCTGTGAAATAATCGAATGACAAGCATGAAGATTTAACTCACTTTCACTTTTTGTGAGGCGCCTAACAGTGAAACTGTGTCCGCCTTGACTTGTGGCAATGCAGGTCTCCAGGTCCACCGTGTAGCACTGATTGTTAATTTTGATATTGATGCTCTTGTTCTTTCTCTTCTTTGCATCTTCCAATTGCAGATTGGTTATTTTGTCAAAAGGATGAGGAGTGTTATTGTCATCGTATTGCCATTCTATAAATTCACTAACACAGTCTGCCCTCTTTGCTTCTTCTCTGGCCAATCTCGCCTTCTTAATCATCTCCTCAATTTTATCTCTAGCCTCCATCACATCTCTACTAATTCCCGAAACCTCCATGAAAGGTCTCTTCTGGTCCAGAGAAATGATAATATTTAATCTCTTCTGCAGCTCATTCAGTTCCTTATACTCCTTTTCATCAAAATCTCTGAGACACTCATCTGTGTTGGTGTAAGAAAACTGCTCCTTTGTGATCAGGTCCTTTAACCACTGGACAGCTTGGTCCACGCAGCGTTGGCTGTCACCACACACCTGGAAGACCACCAATTCTGTTTTCTTTTCCAAAATCAAAGGTTTCTCTTGTGGTTGAGGTTTTGAAAAACCTAAGCGGGCTAAAGAGAAAAAAGAAAATTAGCTGTTTCCTATATAAACTCAATATTTAAAAAGGTATTTCATAAAAATAAAGAACTCACAGAAAAATTTAGATAACATCGATGGTTGCTGAGAAGCCTGAGACCCTTCTCTGTTTTTCATGTTGGCATAAAACACATTTAGTAGCTGGGGCTGAAAGATAACAACTTTAACCTTCTTTACATGCTGAACTGATCCTTTCTGGACAAAGTCTTCAATGGCATCAAGTATAGCTTCGGCAACCTTATTATGGTCTTGTCCAGCATTTCCTGGAAAATTAAATAAGAAAAATGACTGGAGGACAAAACCCAACTGGAAATCCCAAAAGCAAATTAGGAATTCCAGTTCTTGAAAAACAAATGCCAGCATCCCAGCTCTTTCATCCATGTAAATTTTCTAGTGATGTAAGTAAAAGCAGAGACCTTTGACGTCCTAGGTGCGGTGAGGAGTTTTGTTCCAGGATGTGAGGAAGCCAACCGCCCAGCAAGGAACAAGCGCCCTGAATCCTGACTTCTGGTCTCTGACCTTCTCTGACGTTTGCCTGTTGATCTGATTCCATGTCACTGTTTCCTTTCTTTAGTTACAGGATGCTGGTAACTTGTCTTCCTAACTCACCAGTGTCCTCAAAAGAGCCATAAGAGGCAAAAGATGCTAATACGTGCGTGCTAACACAGATCTCAGGAGAGAAAAGCATGTTTTTCTTATGTCATTGTGTGATTTTATGTATCAGTATTTTCCCAAGTAACTCTGGGGACCGGATTTAAACTCAAACAACTTTGTTAGACATGCAGAGTGGTAAGCTACTTGTTACCATCTCTGATCCTTTGGATGCAAGTTACACTTGAGATTTTAGCTGATCAGCAGGTCTCGAGGTTGCCACGGAGCAGATGCTCTTGTGTCTCCTGCACATGCCATCTTTTTTCTCATGCTATGAAAGCCACTGCCCTGGCAAGTTCATGAAAGGTACCTTTCCAGCCAAGGAGGTGGTCCCACATGAATGGCAGTTGACACAGTCACATGGTATATGACACAAAAGCTTCCCGGCCAAGCTGATACATTACATTAAGAGCCCATTCAGAATATGTTTATCTATATAAAATATAGTTAAGATAGTTTTACTACTAATTTTTCTGAGTTTATTGTCTCATACCCTGGGTGACTGATTTGGGAATCGTAATGTGCAATCTATGTGCAGTTGTTCCAATTGTTGTGTTTTGAAAAAAATTTTTTTCTCTTTTAAATACAATGGATTTGAAAAAAAAAAAAAAAGCCCATTCAGGTTATCTCAGTACTGCAGTCAAGAGAGCAACCTGGCCATCTGCACAAGTGTGGGCATGCAGCAAACCCCATACAGAATTAGCCAAGAGGGTTTCTTCAGGTTTTTTGTTTTTTAAACTGATGAACAGAGAGAGAAATTCTCATTTACAAAGCTGTGATTTTCCCATGATATTTGGAAGGCTTTAAATGGAAGTATTGGATCACTGGGGTGCTCTCTATAAACATCTGCCATTCCCCGCCACACGGGCCACTCAGCCAGCATACAATGGTAGGCAAGAGGGACAGATGTCAACAGGGGAAGTACCCTGGGGATGGGGCTCTGCAGAGAGGACTTTGCGTCACAGAAGCACATATTCAGACAGTCACGGACGGGGCCAACTGGTTTCTGAGAAAGATGAACCTGATTGCTCCTAAGTCTTCTGTCTAGGATCAAGTGGGCAAAGATAAATCTGGAGGGCCACGTTGGAGGACACACAAGCGGAGAATATGTCTGTAGTTAGGAGAGAGAGAGGCGGCTGGAATGAAGAGCCTGGTGCAGGCACTGAGGAGGCCTTTAGGGAGAAAAGTCAGGAGCACCCAGTGATGTGCCTTGTGCTCTGGACCTTTTCCTTATCTTTCTATCTCTGGGCCTAAGTGCAAAAATATTGACTCTCACATTGAGGTGATCAGTTAATAAGCTAGAGAATGTAGGGTTAGTAAAGAGGGAGGAGTCAAGGATGCCAGAGAAAAGTGATGGTTTTCACACGACTGGGGACATATGAAGAAGGATTGGATTTCCAGGGGAGAACAGTGAGACGTTGGGGTCTGCATTGCGTTTAAGCCGCCTGCAGCTTTTGCGACCCCCCATTCCTCCCACCTTACGCGGGGTCTTTACAGGACAAGGCGCTGCCTCTACTCCCACGGGCTGTCTTCATCAGAGTCCTAATTGGACTCGTAAACACCACTCGGGTGAGCACCTCCACCTGTGGCTTTAAAGGCCAGCTGAAGCGGTGACCACGATGGCTGAAAGGACAAGCAAGGAAAACCCACCAACCCTGCCTTGCCTGTGCAGGCCAGCGATGCGGCCAGGTCCACAGGAGAGGCCACGGGCTGGCAACACCCCAGAAATGCTGGAAGGTGGGCTGGAGGGGTGGCAGAGCACCTGCCAAAGTGAAAGCCACTTCCTTTCTGTCTTTTGCATTTTGACTCCACCCAAGACTACCTTAGAAAGATCTGTGCCACCCCAGGCATGCTGTTTCCTGGACTCAGAGTAATTTAAGACTAGGAACAGGACCAACAGCCCAGACAGGTGGGGACAGAGACTGGGTGGCCATCAGTCTAGATAAGCAGGTGGCCAGAAACCTAGACAAAGGCTGATTGCTAGGAATGGATGATACCAGGAGGGGAATAAAAACATGAAAGGATCATTAATTATACTTTTGGTGGGCCAGGGGTTTAGCTCAGCGGCATAGACGCCTGCCTGGGAAGCTCGAGGTTGTGACTGCAATCCCCAGCACCTAAATAAATAAATAGATTATACTTCCGGAAACTGAGCAGTAAGTGGATACACCATTCCTTCCAGGAGCATTAAGAATTACAGGGTGCAAAATATGAGTGAGAGGATGAGAAGGCCCAGAAAGTGACAAGGACGGCTACGTTTACTAAGACTGAACTTTCCAAGGCCTGGGGCGCCGGTCCAGGAACTCAAGCTGAGGCTTCTGAGCAAGGGAACGCCAGCTCCCGCGCTGAGTCCTCCCTCGCAGGGCCACTCGGACCCACCGTCCTCCCGGCCTGCTTAGCTCCCTCCTCGCACACACAGCCCTGGTTCCTGGGGAGACAGCATCGAGAGCACCTGCTGACTGACGTTTACCTGAACACTACACTGACAGACGAGGAAGCACACAATCCAGTCGTCACGTAGTTTGAGGAAAACAAACTCAAAAGCAGCAAGCAGCCCAAAACAGGAAGTTTGAGTGACTGAGAGGCCTCTACAATGCAGGTGATGTAGAGCTGGGGTTGCCCTGGCAACCGGGAAGCTGATGCAGTGATGCTCTTCATGGAGAAGGACAGAGGAGGAGGTGGAGGGTTAAGTGATGGAAGTTGTACAGGGAAGAGAAAAGCAGATGAAGCGTGTGAGGGGAGTCTTGCATACCCCTCCCTTCCTTCTGTTGCCCTCCCTTGCTTTCGTTCCCCTCCCTAACAACCCACTCACTTTCCTCTTCCTCCTCCTCCTTTTTACGAAGTCTTGCTAAGTGACCCAGGATAGCCTAGAACACCTGGGCTCAAAGTACCCTCCTGCTTCAGCCTCTCCAGTAGCTGGGACCACAGGCACACACCCACAGCTAGCTCACTTTTTCTCCCTTTATTTTAAACCACTCACAAGCTTCACTCACTATCTTAGCATGAAAAAGCTGTCCACTCAGATAAACCAAGGACCCTCACTCAGATTTGGTGACACCCACATTAAGCACCGAATCAACGCCTTCACATTTGGCCTTGACTTCCAAAGAGGCTACAAACCTGTCCCAATGGCTGGGAGGCAAATGGAGGAGTAATTCAGTTTCTCGGTTTCTTGCAGAACACAGGAAACTGATTTCTTGACATTATTTCCACCAACGACATGAATAATGTTCTTGCACATCAGTAATCCACCTTTAGTAATTATGTACTCTTGTTTGCCCTGTCGACCTGGAAAACACAGACAAAAAGACACAACATTGACTGCTTAATGTACTCTTTGTTTAGAAAGCAGACTGCTTGATTTGTCAGGGAAGCATTTTGTAAATAAGAAATTTCTAAAATACTATCTTTGGTGAAATTGTTCTGATTAATTTCTCTTTTAATTGTGAGATTACTTTCCACTTCTAATTCTCTACAACTGGAAATTCGCTCATAAAATGTGTGATTATAAGATTAATGTGTTTGCCTTCCCAACCCCAGGACTGTCCTCAGTTTCTTCACAACTTCCCAATTCTAATTTCTACTTATCATTTTTACTATCAACATAGTATTGGGTCTTACCTAGGACAGCACATTCCTGTTCCACTTCTTGTCCTGCACATTCTAAAATTGCTCTGGAGACCCCTGGATGAGAAAATACCGATGGTAACAAACATGACTTTAAAAACGTTACTACAGTGCATTTGGGTCAATAGACTTCCTCATTATCTAAACCCATGTCCAGCACTGAAGGAATCCTACAGCCTGAGTACTGCTAATAACAAACAAGCAACATTCATGCGGTAACTGTTGGCAATTATAAGAAATACTGTACAAATCATGTTAACATTTTTAGTTAATATTAATGGGACAATTTGACCCAAACCAGTTTGGCTATAGACACACTCTTTTGCAGGGTCTACCATGTTAATTATTAACTAATCAAAATCATAGAAGTGAAGTACCTGCTTTAAGATTAAATGTGCTGGATGTTGAATTTACAATCACATCTGCAGTTTCTTTAGTGATATCCCCAGAGGCCACCTGGAAGAGGATGGGGCCAATCTTCATTTCATGTACTCCCAAATTAGGGCTAGAAATAGTCCCATAGAAATCTGCAAAGAAAAAGCTCGAGTCAGTCACCCAAGTCAGCAAGAGCAACAGTGTCTCGGGTCTCTGGCATCTCAGTCTCTCAGTCTTTCTCTCTCGCTACCTCTCTCTGAGCACTGCCCTCTAACTTGAGTCCCAGGAAGTGTTTGTTTCCAGTACAGGATTACAAAATACAGTAAAGATCAAATGTACTTCCAGGTGGCCAAGGTGAAGTCAGCCTCTATAGGCAACTTTCCCACAATTATAAACAAAACACAGTCAAATATAAAATGCCACCACCCAAGAACTCTGTCAACAGCATCAGGCAGATTAGGGGAAGGAGTCACAACTTGAAGAAGCAATCTGGACAGGGGAGAATTTCCCATTAGGTTTTATCTTTAAATTTTTTGAGCCCAGTGTGGCCCCAGTCACAGACTGAGAAACAGGTTGCACTCTCAGATAATGCCTGTCCTTGTGGCCAGAGGGTTAGGAAAGGTCCCTGTGAGCTGAAGACCACGGGAGGGAATCCTTGGTTTCCCCAGATGTAAGCACACAGCATTTCCATTACTTGGTTTACACTTCCTTTTCTGGAAGGCAACTCTAGTGATGCATTGATAAGACAGTACAACAGGCCGCTTGAATTCAGAAAAATCCCTGTTTCTGTGGTCGGAGAACCTGGAAAATGAGCTCTGGAAGTCAGAGAGTCAAGAGGAATCATAGAAAGGTGGGAGCTGAAGAAGGAGATCTTCTAATTCTACACATAAACTGGAAAAAGTCCTAAGGCCCCTGCTCCCCAAAACTGCATACACGTGTGACAGGCCCAGAGCATCACAGCCCTAATTCTAAACATGGATGCCATGGTAATGGGGACCTCCATAACCCACTGTCACAAACAGATCAACTAGACAAAAAAATGAACAGAGAACTATTAGAGCTGAACCGAAGCTTTGAACAAATTGACTTAGTAGATATCTACAGAGTGTTCTACCTAATAACAGTAGAATACATGTTTTTCTAGCAGCACATGCACCAAAACACTACATACCAGCCCACAAAACACACTAAAATAAATACAAAGGAATAGAAATTCTCCCATGTGTATAATCAGATCATAGCCCAATGAAATTGGAAATAAATGGAAAAAGGTTCTGAGGACCAGCCCAGTGCAGTGCAGAGCAGGCAGTGATTCATATTAATAAACTGCCACGAGAATAAGTGAAGAGTCTGTCCTAGTCCTACGTGAGTTGTGGTGAGACTTGTGGCTGGTGTACAGGCAGGTCAATCTTTAAATCGATGGCCAGATTGAAGACTAAGAAATGGTCTGTGAAGTTCTGGTGCCTGAAGCAAGGCAGAATGGCAGCTGAGGACTTCGACTCACGCAAATTGCTTCTAGCTCAGTAGTTAGCAGACAATCAGGTCACTGATTAACCATGACCCCTTCCTGTGTGCTTTTCCAAAAATGCATTGTTCCTCAATTCTTGAACCTTGATTGCCTAAGCAGTTCACTCCCACCACTCTCTGCAGCCCAGCACACCCCTGAATCAAGTGTACCTAATAAAGGCCAAGGACGCCGAGCCTCATGGTGTTAGTTCTTATTGGGCTGTGACCATCCTAGTGCCTTTTGTAATTAATATATATAACTAATATAATATATTGCAATTAATATAATATATATATAATGACTGTGTTTTATTCTGTCATCCCACCCCTGAGCATATCAGTGGTCTTAAGCCAGGGCCCTGATAAAAATGGACCACAAAAATGACATAAACACATGGAAATTAAATAATACCCCCCTGAACACCCAGGGGGTCACGGATAAAATTAAAGAAATTGGACAATTTCCATAATGAAAGAATAATGCCAATATGACATACTGGACCTTATGGGATGCGATGAAAGCAGTCTTATGAGTGACAATTATAGTAGTGAATTCCTACACTGAAAAACGGAGTGAGCTGAAATGAATAACCTAATTTTAACCTCAAGGTCCTAAAAGAGAAGAGCAAGTTAAACTCAAAGTTCATGTGAGGAAAAATGTAAAGAGAGCAGAAACTAATGCAATTCAGACTGACAAAGCAATATAAAGAATTAACGAATCAGAGTTAGTTGTTTGAAAGATTAAATAAAACAGATGAACTCTTAGCCAACCTTATCAAAAAAAGAGAAAAGACTCAAATCCATGCAGTTAACCATGGAAAAGTTGAAATCACAACAGATCCCCCAGACATCCAGAAGATCCTCAGTATCTACTTTGAGAAACAGTATTCTAACAAGACAGATAATTCAGAAGAAATGGAACAATTCCTAGATACATACAAATTACCAAAGATGAATCAAGAAGGTATAAAAATTCCAACATCAATATAATTCAACATCAGGCAATGAAATTAAAGAAGGAATAAAAAAATCTACCAACAAAAAATACCTAAGTTCTAATGGATTCACTGATGGATTTTATAAAAATTTTAGAGATGACCTAGTATCACTACTACTCAAACTCCTCACTAAAATCAAAAGGGAAACAACACTCGCAAACTCATTGCTGGAAGCAAGCATTACCCTGATACAAAAACCAGAGAAGGATCCAACCAAAATGAGAACTGCAGGCCCATTATGAACATAGATGCAAAAATCCTCAATAAGATACTAGCAAACACAATGTAGCAAATCACCAAAAATAATTATGCACCATAAGCAAGCAGGATTCATCCTAGAATGCAGGAATGGTTCAACATACACAAATCAAAAATTGTAATCTATCACATTAACAGAATCAAGGACAAAAACCATATGATCACTTCAATAGATACAGTAAAGGCATTTGACAAAGCCCAGCATTCATTCATGATAAAAAAAAAACCCACAGGAAATTAGAATAACAAGTCTTATCTCAATCTGATAAAAGCCAGCTATGACAAAACATCATCCCATATCATACTAAATGGACACAAACTGAAATCCTTCACTCTGAAATGAGAAACAAGACAAGGATGCCCACTGTCAACTCTTGTTCAATATAGTTCTGGAAACATTAACCTGAGCAGTTAGACAAGAAAAATAAGAAGAATGTGGATAGGAAAGGAAGAAGTTAAATGATCATTATTTGTTGACCCCCAAAACCTCCATCAAAAAATACCCCCAAAACTCCACCAAAAGACTTCTTAATTTAATAACCAAATTCAAGCACAGCAGAATACAAAGTCAACACTCAAAAATCAATAGCATTCCTGTACACAAATAACAAATTTTTGGAGAGAGAAATTAGGGAAACAGCTCTCACAATAGCATCAAATAATAATGAAATACTTATGAATTAATCTAATGAAGGAAGTAAAAGACCTCTACACTGAAAACTACAGTACTCTGACAAAGGAGATTGAAGATGATATCAGAAAATGGGTAGGAAAAATCAATATAGTGCAAATGGCCAAACTTCCAAAGTTGTTATAGATTTAATGCAATCCCAATCAAAATCCCAATACTATATGTCACAGGGCTAGTGAAAATAATCGTGAAATCCATATGGACCCAGAGGAGACCTAGATTAGCAAAAGAAATTCTGGGGAACAAGGACAAGAATGGGGACATCACAATCCTCAATTCAAAATTATAGTACAAAGCTACTATGATAAAAACAGCATGGTACTGGCAAAACAAGAGACCTGAGGATCAATGAAATATATTAAAAGATGCAGAAACAACTTGAACAATTATTTCTAAGATGACAATATGTAATCCATTAATTAGTGATTTCCTACTGTTTTTTCTGTAAATCTGTATAACTTGTACCCTTTCTCTGCTTTTTTTCTTTTTCTCCTTAAATAAAATTTTTTTAAAAATGAAAAAAAAAAAAACGATGCAGAAACAACGGCAGGCATACTCCACTACTTCATCTCTGACAAACGGGCCAAATACATTCACTGGAAGAACGCTTCTTAACAAATCATGCTGGGAATACTGGATTTCCAAACGCCAGAGAGTGAATCTAAGCCAATGGTGGCAAATTCGCTGCAGTGGGCATGAAGAACCCTCTCTGTTGGCATGTCAGCCAAGCCACCACGGTGTGTTTTCTAACTAAAACATCATTATTAAGGTTTAACTGCAGTGTCGGCACTGCACAATAAATCAGTGGTTTTGACTTACAATTTGGACACTGAGACTCAAAGTTTCACTGTCACTGACTTGGACTCATCTCTTACCATGCGCTAAAATCAAAATGGATGAAAGATGCAGATATGAATAGAGAAGTAAACTCCTAGAAGAGAGAATAGTAAAACTCGAAGAGATTGGTAGAGGCCAAAAACTTTATGAACAAAACTGACTGCACAGGAAGTATTACAAAGAATCAACAACTGGGATCACATCACAGTAAAAAGCATTTGCACAGCAAACGAAACCACCAACAGAGTGGAGATAGCCTACAGAGTTGGAAAAAATTTTTTTACTAGCTACTTTTCAGACACAGGGAAAATATATAAAGAACTCAAAAAACCCAGACGTGAATGCACTTCTCAGATGAAGAAGTGCATAGAGCAAAAAAACACATGGAAAAATGTTCAGTATCACTGGTCATTCAAAAACTGAAACTAAGATGACACTGAGATTCCACCTGACTCCAGAAAGAGTGGGTGTCATCAAGCAATCAACCAGTAACAAATGCTGTGGGAGAAATGGATGCCTTTTCCACTGGTGGTGTTAATTGGTACAAGCACCATAAAAATCAGTATGGAGATCCCTCAAAAAACTAATACTGGAGGTTCCGTTTGAGCCAGTTAATGCCCTTCTAGGTATCTTCCCAAGAGAGTTAGAAAGTATCATATCACAGTGACATATGCATATCCATATAGCTAAATCTCAGGAACACCCCTTACGCCCATCAACACGTGAACAGATAAAGAAAGTGTGTTAATTATATACAATATGGTACTGCTGTGGCATAAAGAGACATAAATGAGTCATTTTAAAGTACAGGGATGCACTTTGAGACCCTAATTTTGAGTGAAGTAAATCAGACACATGAGTG